ACTTACTGTGATGTTTTTGATAGGTCATTAACGAAAGTTCAGAGAATCACTGAGTTCAAATGTGACAGGCAGTGAGAAAGAGAAAAAGACACAGACGATGACTCCACATTAGGAGTGCTTTCGTTAGCTGTACTGCTAGGATTACAAGACTCTGAAGAAGTCCTGTTGAGAAAGTAGGAAGGGCACTGGGTCTGAATTGGGTAAATCTGTAAGGGGCTGAGAAAAACCCTGTGGTCATTAATATTTGAATGCAACAGTGAGTCAGGTCTAAAAAATTTGCCAGCAATATTTGCCTGATATAACTGAATAAGACTCAAACCCAAATAAAACCCAGGGACCAGCTGTCAGTGCAGAGCTGGAATTATGCATGTGAATGAGTACTGAAGTGCAGTTTCAAAATCCAGAGGAGTGTAACAAAGGAAATAGGGTGGACAGTGTGGTTGTTACTGACCAACCAGAACAAGAGCAGTCATTGAGGCAGACCATGATAGCATGACTCTTGTGAGGGAGTTTGAAGATTAATTGGCAAAAGTAACAAATTGTGGTCCCTTGTGAATTATAATAAGATTTGGTAACCCGCGGTAAATCTGGGAAAAAATTTGCTGAAAAATTTGTGGGATGCCTCGAGTGCATTTTGCTATTTGAGGTGCATTTTAGGTGGTCTATCACTTGTACAGATCCTCAAAACAAGTCCTTAGTGGCGATCTAGGTGGAAGATACTAAGGTGATATCAAAGACTGCAGCAACAGACAAAGGCTGCAGCAGCAGGGAAATCCTCAGTTGTTGAGGTTTCTTACCGCTGGAACTAGATCAACTTCCTGTCAAGGACCTGTATCTGTTGATGTGCAATAGCATTCCTACATTAAAGGATGTCCTGTACAAGATGTCTACTCGGGAATTCAAGACCATCCACAGACACAACACAAATGAAGAATTACCCTTGTTGCCCGTGAACATTAATATCGCTGCAAAGAGATGTGCTTACACCTTCTGAAGAGGAAAACTCGAGGATCAACCTAAGACTCATGGCATTGATATGTTAAGAAGAACAAACTTGTCAACCGACTCTGAGCTCCCTGTTGGCACCAACGATTGCCTTGTGTCTCTCCACTTAGAACTTACAATCATCATGAGTACCTCTGCTCCAACCTGTGATGCCATACCTGAGGTCAAAAAAGGCTTCTGCTCTACCTTGGGCACCATACTCACCAACATCCCTAAGGAATATAAAATTATCCTTGTTGGAGACTTCACTGCCAGGGTTGGAACCAAAGGGGCTCTCCTCACCAGATGTGTGGAACTCCAGCTGGTCATCAACACATTGTTGTGCCAAAAAGTCCAAGACTTCTTGGAGGTATTCACAATCAAAACACTGGCACGTGATTAACTATGTAGAACAGTACTATACAGGAGCAGGCCCTTTGGCTCACCATGTCTGTGGTGACCATGATGCCATTCTAAACTAATCCCATATGCTACATGTATCACTCTATTCCCTGTCTATTCAAGTCTGTCTAAATGTCTTTTAAACACTGTTAACTTGTCTGCATCTGCGTCATCATTTAATCCCAAAACGTAAAGGATGTCCTCTTTACCAAGGCAATGACCAGTGAAGGCGACTGCTGGACATATCACTGGCTCATCTGCTCCTCACTGTCCATTAAATGCCAGCAGAAGCAGTTGGAGACAAAGAAACAGTTCATAAGATAATGTTGAGTGGCTTCAACAGTCAAGCAGACTAGCAAACCTCCATCAATGTTTTTATCAAAATCTCCATAAAGTTCATGTTAATGGAGCTGGGGAAGTCTGGAGAGAGCTTAAGACAGTCATCATTTCATGCTGTGAAGAAACCATTGGATACAAGACCAAGAATCAACAAGAATGACCACATCATCCAAGACCTCATCGACAAGAAGAGAAAAATTCACCATGCCAGGCAAAGCAACACCACCAGCGAGACAAAAGAGGAGAACTCATCAAACAGCAAAGTCAATTACGAAGTAGAATCAAGAACGAATAGTGTACTGAGAAAACTAAGAAGTCCCTTGCTGACAAGCACGGCATCTGGAGTTTCTTCAGGACCAGCAAGGCAATATGCGGACCCAATACCCTTGGCCTCACACCAGTACGGAGTAAGATTGGTACCTTTTGAGAGAACAGTTCAAAGAATTTGTAAACCATGATTCAAATGCCAGTGAGCATGTGCTTGAGGATGTCCCCAATTCCCCACCAAAGATGATCTTGGACACCCACCTCATCAGGCAGAAGTTGAAACCGCTATGAGATGCATGTAGAGTTGAAAAGCTGAGGGGTAGACAGGATTCCAGCAGAGATTTTGAGGATTGGAGCAGCAGAGCTTACCTGTGATCTCCATCAACGGTTCCTGAAAATCTATGACAAAGAAGAAATTCTTGCCACTCTCAGGGATGTTGCCAATGTCACTGTCTTCGAGAGGAAACAAAGTGGATGTAGGAGCTACCAAGGAATATTCCTATCTCCGTCGCTGGGGAAGATCATCACCCAAATCCTCACTAGGTGCCAACTTCCAGTCGTGAAGAAAATCCTTCCTGAGAACCGATGTGGCTTTTGACAAAACCATGGAATTATGGGCATGCTTTTCACTGCTCAGCAATTGCAAGCGAAATAACAGGAACAACAACCACTACTCTAGGTTGCCTTCATTGACCTGACACAGGATTTTGACTCTATCACTTTCAAGTGTTAGGGAAAATCCTGTCAAATGCCAGCTGAAATAAAATTCATCAATGTTCTTCATCTCCTCCCCTCAGGATGTTGGTGACAGTCCTCACCAATGGTAATATGACACGATCTTTGAGGTCAAGACAGGGGTCAAACAGATATGTGTCATCGTCCCCTTTTCTCCATCTTCATTGTCACCACTCTTCATCCTGTCAAGACCAAGTTTCCTGGTGGTTTGGACATTGTCTACAGGATGCTCAGAAAACTCTTCAACTTCAACCAGTTGAAATCCAAGAAGAAAACAACACCACCTTTGCCTGTGGATCTTCACTATGCAGATGACAATGACAGCTTCTCTGTCTCAGAAGAGAATCTTTATGCTTTTGTGGAAGCATGCCAAAGAACTGGTCTCCAGTCTCAAGCCCAAGAAGACTCAAATCCTTTACCAATTCATCCCTCCAAATAGCTCTTAGCACTAAAGGGATCAAAGGGTATGGGGGAAAAGCGGGAACAGGTACTTAGTTAAATGATCATATTGAATGTTGGTACAGACTCAGGCCCATTAGACCCTACTCTTATTTTCTATGTTTCTATTTTACTGACTTTGCATTAACCAGGCAATTATCAGAGTGGTCTGTGAATTATGAATTTGCATGAAGTTATTTCTAGCCCCCTTTTGGTGTGATTGGATTTGAAAGTAACTGCGCAGCTTTATGCTTTAAACAAAATGAAGGTTGATTTATTGCAAAACTACTATTGTAGCTATTTAAGTAAAAGCAACAGTGTAATTAGTTTAAATATGTGTATGCAACAATTAAAACTGGATCCGCCCGAGATTATTATGGAGCTTTTTTATTTGTTTGTGAGATGAATTGTCATCTCTAATTGTCTAGACGGTGGTCAGGAGTCTACCACATTGCTGTGGATCTTGAGTCAAATGTAGGGCAGAAAAGGAAAGGATGACAGATTTTCTGCTGTAAAGGTTACAATTGAACAAGTTGGGTTTTGTGACAATCAGCAGTCGTTGTGGTCACCATTAGGTTGGCTTTTTATTCCAGATTTTTGAGGTTAAATTTCACTAAACACTATGGTGGGATTCAAACCAAGCTCTCCAGCGAATTAACAATAACAGAAATTGCTGGAGAAACTCAGCAGGTCTGGCTGCAGCTGTGAGAAGAAGGCAGAATTAGTGTTTATTAAAGTAGAGAATTAGCTTGGGGCTGTGAATTATTAATCGTTCAGCCTAGAATCATCCTTGGTACTTTCTCATAGAATTGTATTTTTAACTGTCTCAATCTTGAGCTTGGAAGCTTTCATCCTGTCAGATTTTTGGTGAGATAGGAAAAGCTATTCATATGTCAAAGGAAATAATCATCCGAGTTATTTTAACCCTTGGAAATAATAATTGAATTTCTAACAGTCTCTTTTTAATTTCTTCTTGAGACAAGTGCAGCCTGGCCCTAATACCAGCTGATTTGATGAGTGGTGTTGTGACTTCTGGGAACTATTTTGTAAGATTGCTTGTGTTGATTTTAAAAACAGATTAACTTTTGGCTCAAATTAAACATAACAGCATAGCCTACTCCTGCTCCTATTTAGGTTATCTGACCTGTTGAGCCGCCTCCACCATTCAATGAGATCATGGCTTATCTTTTGATGGACTCAGCTCCACTTATCCGCTCACCAAAACTCTTAATTCCCTTACTGATCAAAAATCTATCTACCTTCGCCTTAAAAACATTAGATGAGGTAGCCTCAACTGCTTCACTAGGCAAGGAATTCCACAGATTCACAACCCTTTGGGTGAAGATGTTCCTTCTCAACTCCATCCTAAATCTGCTCCCCCTTATTTTGAGGCTATGCCCCCTAGATCTACTTTCTGTTATACAATTTAACTGTAATTTGTGACACTACTATTTTGTACTTATCCTCTGATTCAAGCCAGTATGGGACAAAGAATGGGACAAGGTTCTCTGCTTTTCTATGACATCAGAGCTCAGAAGTTCATGGAAAAGCTGTATCTAGCAAACCACTACAGTGAGAAGCTGAAACTCAAGTCTTGTGAAGAAATTTTAAAGTTAGCATCTTTACCGGTTTTCACCTTTCCTTTGACTACTGTAATATTGTACTTCTGCAAAGAATTTTAATTTTTACTTTGTTCATTTTTTGCAGCTGTGCATTTTGACAGAAATGCTTTCACATTTGAAGAAAAATGTTTGAAGAAAAGAATCCAAATGCTATTTTGAAGTTAAGAAGGAAGATAATAAGTGGTTAAAAAAAAATTGTTTTGTTTTAAACAGGTATCCGATCTGTAAGCTTTTATGAACACATTATAACAGTAGGAACGGGACAAGGTTCTCTGCTTTTCTATGACATCAGAGCTCAGAAGTTCATGGAAAGGCTGTGTCAAGCAAACCACTACAGTGAGAAGCTGAAACTCAAGTCTTGTGAAGAAATTTTAAAGTTAACAACAGGGAAGGGTTGGTTGGTAAGTTGGCAGATTTTGTTTTCCATTAAATGCAAGATGTGAAGAATCCTAGAATACCTGTTCCGTAGGGTTCCTGAAGTACTTGGTCATTTCGGCACAAAGATTAATTCATCGCTAGATAATTGTTAAAACAACGTTGATAGCACGGTATTGGCCAAGCAACAAGAGAGGCCTCTGTCGCTGTGCACTGAGTAGTGTCATGGCTTCTTTTACGTCCATTTGAGGATTGTTGGAACCTCAGTTTAACATATTGACTTCTCTAAAGCATAGCACACCCTGCATTGCACTACTGCATCAGCCTAGATTGTCCAGGAGTAGCATGGTGGCTCAGTGGTTAGCACTACTGCCTCACAGCGTGAGGGACCTGGTTCGATTCCACCCTCGGGAAAGTGTCTGTGTGGCATTGCACATTCTCCCCATGTCTCCGTGGGTTTCCTCAAGTCCTCCAGTTTCCTCTCTTACTCCAGAGACGTCCAGGTGAGGTGGATTGGCCATGCTAAAATGCCCATAGTGTCCAGGGATGTGCAAGCTAGGTAGATTAACCATGGGAAATATGGGGTTACAGAGATAGGGTGGGATGCTCTTCAGAGGATCGATGTGGACGCGGGCCGAATGGACTGCTTCCATGCTGCAGGGATTCTGTAGTTCTATGATTTAAAAGTTTGAAGACAACATTTTAACTGCAAATTGAGTGCTACCACTGGGTCCAAACCTGATACAAAGTATATGAAGCACTTCATAAATTCGTACGTCATCCATGTAAGCTTTAACGATTGATGCTGGCTATTAGGGGAAATTAATTGTATAAGTGGTGATATCACTGGACTAGTAATCGAGAGACTAGGCTAATGCCCTTGACACACGGGTTCAAATCTCATCATGGCAGCTAGTGGAATTTAAGTTCTAGCTCAATAACCACCATTGATTGTGATTTTTAAGGAAACCTATCTGGTTCACAGAAGTCCTTTTAGGGGGAAAGAAAAACCTGCCATCGTTACCTGGTCTGGTGTGCATGTAACTTCAACCCACAGCAGTGTGTTTGACTCTTGACTGCCTCTGGGCAATTAGGATGGGGCAATAAATGCTGACCTAACCAATGATACCTAAATCCTGTGACTGAATGAAGAAATAAAACTATTCACTGGAAGGATTCTGAATCTTTGAAATTCTGTTTTCCAAAAGTACGAGTACTCCATTGAGTGTATTCAAGGCTGCATTAGATAGTTTTTTTTGATCAAAATCAAAAATATGGAGAAGAGTTGGGAATATGGAGTTGAGATAGATGATCTGCCAAGATTTAATTGAATGTTGGAGTAGGTTCATAACATCTATTTCTGCTCTTAGTTCTTTTATACTTAAAATCATAGAACGTCCTTCCTTACATTATAGGAATACTATAGACATTGCAGAGTTCAAGAAGGCCAACCGCCACTGAGCAGTGAGAGATGAGCAATACAAGCTGTCACTAACCCAATAATCTGAGATTTTAAAATGTCTCACACTGGGGAAGGGATGAAGTCAGCAGTGTCCGGACTGGAATCCGATAAATATCAATAACTGCATCCTTTTGACTCCCAACCTATATGCGTAACCAAATCCTGCTATAAAATGGTAAGAAGAGGTGATGATACAGAATAGAGAGAGAGAAGAAGAAACTGGCATGCAGTAAATTCACAAAAATATGTATTTTAGTTCTGTAATTTATATTAAATGGCAAATGAAAATTGATATTGAATAATATGAAGTATTAGTATGGATACTGGGGTAGGAAAGATGTGGCTCATTGCATATGATGAATGAAATTAAATGTCATGCAGTGAGACTTGCAGAGCAATAGGTGTAAGCTTTAAAATCCAGGCTGCGAGTCAGAGCCGTTGGAAAAGCTTATAACATACAAAGACTTGTCACTTGTGCAATTGGTTAGAAGTCCACAGAGCTTGGTCTGTAGCTTCATAATGGACTTGTCAGATCATAGTAACAATACTGTGAAATCTTCTTTACCAGGCTGCATAAAAGATGTATTGCAGAGAAGGACATTGAAATGATTGACAAAACTGATTGCAGTGTAGTATTATGAAAAGGGAAGTTTATAAGCCGTAGAAGCTGATCAGTTTTAGATCTCATTTAAGAACAGATTTATAAATGTATAATAATAGAAACCAGTATCAGATGATAACTTCAAAGTGCCTCAAAAAAGTTAGATTTGTGGATATGTATTGATATACAAAAACAGAGTGAAAGCTGCTCATCAGACATGGGGAAGAGTTCTGTACATTAGTCCTAAACCTACCAATAAGGGATGGCATAATAACTCAGTGGTTGGCACTGCTGCCTTACAACACCAAGGATCTGGGTTTGATTCCAACCTTGGGCAACTGTCGGTGTTGTAGTTGGCACATTCTCCCAGTGTTTGCGTGGGTTTCCTCCAAGGGCTCTAGGTTCCTACCACAGTCCAAAGATGTGCAGGATAGTTGGATTGGCCATGCTAAATTGCCCCATAGTGTCCAGGGATGTGTAGGTTAGGTGGATTAGCTATGGGGAATGCAGGGTTGCAGAGGTAGGGTAAGGGGTCAGTCTGGCTGGGAAGCTCTTTGGAGGGTAGGTGGACTAGATGGGCCAAATGGCCTGCTTCTTCACTGTAGGAATTCTATGCTTCAAGTAGAGGTAATTGAGGCAAAAGATGATTATGATTGTTCAACATGCATTTTGATGCCAAAGGTAAAGAATTAGAAGAAAAAGAAAACTTTGAAAGACTCGATGACCCTAGACTTAATCTGCTTTTTGAGCAATTTGAAACTCATTGTATACTTCACTAATTCAGGATTTTCCTCTCAGTGCAAGAGTCATAGTGATGTACAGCATAGAAACAGATGCTTCTGTCCAACTTGTCCATGCCAACCAGATATCCTAAGCTGATCTAGTCCCATTTGTCCATATCCCTCTAAACCTCTAAACCCTCTATTCATATACCCATCCAGATGCCTTTTAAATGTTGTTAATTTTACCACCTTCCACCACTTCCTCTGGCAGCTCATTCCATACACGCACCACCCTCTACATGAAAAAGTTGCCCCTTAGCTCCCTTGTAAATCTTTCCCCTCTCACCTTAAAACTATGCCATCTAGTTTTGGACTCCCCTACCCTGGGGAAATGACCTTAGCTGTTCACCCTATCCACATCTCATGATTTTATAAGCGTCTATAAGGTCACCTCTCAGCTTCTGCTGCTCCGGGGTAAAAAGTCCCAGCCTATTCAACCTCTCCCTATAGTTCAAACCCTGCAACCCTGGCAACATCCTTGTAAATCTTTCCTGAACCCTTTTCAGTTTCACAACATGTTTTCTACAGCGGGGAGACCAGAATTTCTCACAGTATTCCAAAAGTGGCCTAGCCAATGTCTTGTGCAGCCACAACATCACCTCCCAACTCTTATACGCAATGCACTGACCATTAATGTCAAGCATACCAAGTGCCATCTTCACTACCCTATCTACCTGTGACTCCACTTTCAAGAACTATGAATGTGCGCTGCAAGGTCTCTTTGTTCAGCAGCAGTCCCCAGAGCCTTACCATTAAGAGCCTGCCCTGATTTGCTTTTCCAAAATGCAGCACCACACATTTATCTAAATTAAACTCCATCTGCCACTGCTCGGCCCATCTGAAAAAGGTCCTGTTGCACTCTGAGGTAACCTTCATTGCTGTCCAGTAAACCCCTAATTATGGTGTCATCTGCGAACTTGCTAACCATTCCTCCACATCCAAATCATTTATATAAATGACAAACAGCAGTGGACTCAGCACCGATCCTTGTGGCACACCACTGGTCACAAGCCTCCAGTATGAAAAGCAACCCTCCACCACCACCCTCTGTCTCCTACCTTTGAGCCAGTTCTGTATACAATTGGCTAGTTCTCCCTGTATTCCATGTGATCTAACTTTGCTGACCAGTCTACAATGTGGAACTTTGTCGAACGCCTTACTGAACTCCATATAGATCATGAGATAGTAGGAACTGCCGATGCTGGAGAATCTGAGATAACAAGGTATAGAGCTGGATGAACACAGCAGGCCAAGCAGCATCAGAGGAGCAGGAAAGCTGACATTTCGGGTCGAGACCCTTCTTCAGAAATGGGAGAGGGGAAGGGGATTCTGAAATAAATAGGGAGAGAGGGGGAGGCGGATAGAAGATGGATCAAGGAGAAGATAGGTGGAGAGGAGACAGACAGGTCAAAGAGGTGGGGTTGGAGCCAGTAAAGGTGAATGTAGGTGGGGAGTTAGGGAGGGGATAGATCAGTCCAGGGAGGACGGACAGGTCAAGGAGGCGGAATGAGGTTAGTGGGTAGGAGATGGGGGTGGGGCTTGAGGTGGGAGGAGTGGTTAGGGAGGCGGGGACGAGCTGGGCTGGTTTTGGGATGCGGTCGGGGGAGGGGAGATTTTGATACTTGTGAAGTCCACATTGATACTCTCTCTTGGGCTGCAGGGTTCCCAAGCGAAATATGAGGTGCTGTTCCTACAGCTTTCGGGTGGCATCATTGTGGCAATGCAGGAGGTCCAGGATGGACATGTCATCCAAGGAATGGGAGGGGGAGTTGAAATGGTTTGCGACTGGGTGGTGTAGTTGTTTGTTGCGAACCGAGCGTAGGTGTTCCGCAAAGCGGTCCCCAAGCCTCCGCTTGGTTTCCCCGTTGTAGAGGAGGCCACAACGGGAAGAGCGGATACAGTATACCACATTAGCAGATGTGCAGGTGAACATCTGTTTGATGTGGAAGGTGGGAGGTGTGGGGGGAGGTGTAGGGGCAGGTGCAGCACTTGCTCCGGTTGCAGGGAAAAGTGCCGGGGGTGGTGGGGCTGGAGGGGAGTGTGGAGCGGACAAGGGAGTCACGGAGAGAGTGCTCCCAATCCCTCTTCCAAAGCTACACTGGCCCTATCTCCCACCTCTTCCTCCATTACATCGATGACTGTATCGGCGCCGCCTCATGCTCCCACGAGGAGCTCGAACAG